CATACACAAGTGTTTTTTAATACAAATTGTAAATATTTTCTGATAAATATATATGTATGTTGTATACGTATATATATGTGTATGTTTTAGACAAATCTTAAAGGGATTTCTAATGGACCCTACATGGACCAACTAATGGCGTTTTCGATTTGCTACTCGACCCGACTCGGGTCGCATCAATGGACGTGGAATACATACATAAATATGTATGTATTCCACGTCAATGACTAGAGTCCTGTATACATGATGCGACCCGAGTCGGTTTGAGTCGCAAATCGAAAAGGCCATAAGTTAATCCAAAATTATATTAAAAAGATCTTACGTATGATCATTTTAGAAAGATTTAAATCTTTAAAGTTACGCTTATTTCTTTTTCCTGTCCAGCTAAAATTTTGGGCTAAAGTATCTGTCATTACTTTTTTCATAATATTTCGTATCATGGCATGTGCATCAACTCCACCAACAAGTTTAAAAACGTTAAGCTAAAAGAAATAAACAATATTAAAAATAATATTAAATTAATACAGATTTTGTTTAATAATTAATGACTTTTAAATAAATTTAGCTTTCTTTATTTTAACAATATGTAACAGAAATATGTTATTCATGAATTAATGATAAGAAATGTAATCAAAGATAACATTACATTGTTATATTACTCTATAGAAAAAGCATTAACATCTATAATAATATAATAAAAATAAGAAATCTTTATCACATACAACTGTATCCCTAAATTTGATTTCCTGTAATTGGTCTTCAAAGGATATTAACTCAGTAACTGTAGAAATCGGGAAATGGATATCGCATTCTTGGCTATCAAAATCATGACAGGAAAATTGAATTTTCTCTTCTAGCATATTAAATCTGTTTTCTATAATGCCTAATTTATACGATATTGAGTTCAATTTTCTTATAATCAGTTTCTTGAACTCTGGAACAAATATATATTATCTAATTACTGCTACTATTTAGTGCTAAGTATCATACAATAATTATACATATACTTTTTAAGTACAGGACCTTTTAGTAAAAAAAAAAGTAAAAAATATAACAATAATTAATTTTTATAATAAATACCATCATAAGTATAATTCTCGGCATTTTCAGAAAAATCTTGCATATGAAGGTTTGTTTTATTCGCAGCAATTTGCTTCTTGTTATTTTTATCTAAGCAGTAAGAAATTATTAATGATTTTTGTCGTAATAAGGGTCATAGTATTTTTAAATTTTAATTATAACTTACTATTACTGTTCATAGGATTAATAACATTTTTGTCATGTAAAATATTTGTAATATTTTGTGTAGGCTTCTCAATGTCTTTATCAATTGATAGAGAATTTTCTTTGTCAGGAAAAGGAGGCAGTATTTTACTTTGTCTTATATTTAGTTTATTTTTTTTATTTTTTAAACAGATGTCTTCTTCTTCTGAAGAAGAAGAAGATGATGATATTTGTCTCTTAGCTTTCTTACGTCTTTGCTTTTTTTTTTTTCAGTTAAACTATTTGATGACATCCCAGTGTCATCTATATTTGACGTGTCTTGCGCTACACTTAATTTTTGTAAACTTTGCTCATAAGTATCTAAATCATTAAAAACAAAAAAAATTATACAACAATTACATATATTAAATAATAATTTATATAAATAAAATTCTCTTACTTGCTCCACCGAAAATTCTTTTAATTGGTAACTCCTCCCAATCAGACCTTTCTCGAGGCATCTCTCTTGCTATTATAGCCTTGTTAATACGGTATTTAGTTTTCATATGTTTAGGCCATATACATGATAATTTATCAGTATTGTACCATACTGAGGGTATAATTTGTCCCATCATGCCCATCATGAAATTCCGCAATGATAAATTGATATTTATCCATTTTTCTATGATAAAATATTCCGTGATACATATCATGTGTAGTTTACATTATTGAAAAAAAATTATCTAACATACATAATCTAACATACATACATCTAATAATCTAACATACATAATTATATTGTATGATTAAGAGGAAATATTGCAAATGTATTTGAATGATTTCCGAAAGGAATTTTCCATGCTTTACCTAATAAATCTGTAACTGGCCATGAAAATATGCTATCATTATTTACTGTCATTACTTTTATATTAAAATCACTGGATTTGTATGGTAATTCATATACATCTTTTATGTACTTAAGTTTCTTACCAATAAGAAAAAAATCTTCATTTCTTTGCACTACATTTAAAATTAATACATATTGACCGCTTTTCAAAAGACAACAATTATTATTACGACCTTTACAATTGATATTGAACTTTCCATTTGACATCATCAAATATTGCGATTGAATATTATAATTATCTGGTACTGGACCATTGTTATGTAAATATTTATATGAATTTAATGTTTTATTATTAATATTTGACAGAAAAGAATTACAATTTTCAATTTCATTATACCTTTTATATAGTTGTTGCAGCGGTTTTTCATGTTTACGTAATTTTTTTTTTATCGACATCATGTAGTTTTCAAAGCGGAAAGCACTAAAATTATCTAACGGACCATATGTTCTTACGTCGGAACATAAATGTAATAAGTTATGTATGTTATGCGACATGTAGTGCGTACCATATAAAATTTCAAATGACATGACAAAATGATTAAGTAACGATTCAGCAAAATTTATTAATTCCTCATTCAAATTTGGACGTATAAGAATTGTAACAGCTATGTGTAGTGTGAGAAAATTAAGATATATGTCTTGCTTTAATACATGCCTTAATACAATGGGTCCTGTGTATAATAAAAAATTTCGAAACTCTACTGCTTTCCATTGCTTGACATCTTTTAACGATCTGGGTTTTCTAACGAAATCGTTCGGTGTTGTATTTTTCAGCGAAATTAACAAATGTGATATTTTATTAATGGATCTGATACTTAAGCGTACATAAAGTGGACCATTTATCCAAAGAAGGATTATTTTTTTGACAACGCCTAAAGGTATAAGATGCATATAATCTAGTGGTGTGTTACTTATTGGCAAAAATCCAGGAATATTGTTTAATATAGAATACCCACTTTGAAAATCTTGATAAGCATTAGCGGAAAATAGTTCATCTTTTCTAGAAGGATATAATGTTTTTCTATATGGAAAGCAAACTCTACCATTTACATATTTCCCTTTAATTACACATTTTGTACAGCTGTAAAAACCGGTATGGCCTTTTATACACAACACAAAAGATTTGGCGGGTGCATCACAAATTAAAGCAAACAATCTAATTTTGATTATGTTTCCATTATAGATATAACCATTATTAATAAAATTAATTAAATCGTCGACTAAGGGTTGCAGGAAAACATTAGAATCTGTGGGTTTTTTGTAAC